CTCCCCATCGCCTGTCCTGGGACCTGCCTCTCTGATTCCGCCAGCTCTTTCCTCGATACGCGTTGCTTCACCAAAGTCTTCACAGTGCTTGATCCTGAGCGTACCGATATGAGTAAAATGCGGTGCTTGTCCTCGAGGAGCCCCGTCCCGAACTCCTCTTTTCAAGGATGAACTGATTCTGCCTCACTTCGACCTCTGCCCCTGAAGTGATGACTATCGAATACTCACCGACGTCTGTGCTCTCATGGAACGCTAGCCCCATCTCCTCTGCTTCCTGCAGGACCACACACCAGTAAGGATGGACGTAATTAGTATCTCCTACCCATGTTGTTCAACATAAAGATGATTCCAGTCTCTGCAGCTACAAACATGGTTACAGTGAATAAACTTGGAAGCTCATCCTCTTACACAGAATTGCTGTGTCAAAGAGTATATGCATGCATAGTATTTCACGGGTATTTCCAAATGTAAAGGTCCAAATGTACCATCGCACCAGCCACGTATGAGAGCACGTGTTTCTCTACCATTCTCAGACAGCAAAGTGCTACCAAACTTTTCTGTAGATGTTGATCTAATAGAGGAAAACACATCGCTGATTTTTTTCCTCTTATGATGAATGAGGTTGGGTTTGTTCATATGCTCAAGGGCCACTTGTGTTTCTCTCTCTATGAACCATGTTTGTATCCTTTGCTTCCTTGTTATATTGGGTTGTTAATTTTTCTTATTGATTGTAAAAGCTTTTCACATATGAAGGAAATTGGTCCTCATCCAAAATCTGAGTTCAAATATTTTTATAGTAGCCAAATTTATGAGGCTTTTCTTTTGTGGCTTCTGTTTTGTGTCATACTAGAAAAAGTCTTCCCTGCTCAAGATAATTTTTTTTATCTTATACTTTTTCCTAATGCTTTCATTGATTTGTCTTTTATGTTTAAGTCTTTGAACCATTAGAACTTTGTTATTAAATGAAAGGCTGGAATCTATATTATTTAGGAATTGGGCTGGGCTGCTGGTTACTCTGCAGTCTGGCTTTGGCCTCAGTCTCTCCAGTGGAACTCTTCTCACCAAGGTCAAAACCTCCTTGATGCTAAGACTATTTGACCCTACCACACCCTTATCTTACTTACCTCTTAACATACTAAAAAGTATTTCCCATTCCTCTCTTCTTGTGCCTTGTTGTTTCTCCCAGCATGCCAGCCCTTCTTTCTCAGCCTCTTTTGTGAGTTCTTTTTTTCTCCCTTAAATGTTGTGACTTAGGGTTTTGACCTGGTAGTTACTAGCCACACCCTCTTCCCAGGCACCCCCAGCCACTCCTATGGCTTCACACACGATTCACATTTGCTCTTCTGAGCTCCAGACCCGTATGTCCAACAGCCTATTGAATTCTCCACCTGCATGCCCCATAGGCGCCTCACACCTAACACATCCTAATTTCTTCCCCTGAACGTGTTCTCCCTCAGTGGATGGCATCACCATCTATCCACCACCGAAGCTGAGTGTCAGGTACCATCTTTGACTTGTGCCTCTCCTTCTGTTCCACCACTCAACTTGACAGCCCTACCGCCTAAATAGCCTTCAAATCTCCCCCATTCCCTCCATTCCCTTGGCCACCATCCCTCTTGTCTGAGTGACTGCAGCAGCCTCCTAGCAGGCTTCCTGCTGCTGTCTTCCAGTCAAGGCTCCATTTTGCCACCAGCCCACCATTAAATCACAGATCCAATCACGTCGACCCCTGCTTGTAACTTTGGTAGCTCCCACTGTTGGAGACCCACACAGGCCCTGCGACTCTTCTTTCCCCAGCTCATCACCTGTCCCTTCCCCTTGCACCCCTTCAGCCTCGATGAGCTGTGAGGCCCCGAGCACCCTGGGCTCACACCCCACTCCCTCTGCTGTCAAGCACTCCTCCTTCCCTTCCTCTGACAATGGCTCCTTACCCTCAGTTCCCAGCAGATCTTCTGCCAACAACCCTGCCCTGGAAGCCGGACCCCTGCTCTCTGTCCACAGCCCCCTGCTCTCCCCTGGTCACCAAGCCTGTTGATTTGCTTTGGAGCCGCATCCCAATTTGCAGTCACTGCTTTCAGTCCCCTCTCCCAGCTTATCCCCACATCCTCACCGCTGCTTCCGGTGCCCAGCAGGGAAGGTTCTCCGCCAATGTTTGGAGGAATGAAAGCTCCCATCCCTTCACAGGACACCCCAGTCAAGGACACCACCCCCAGCCTTCAGACAGGTTTCTTCTTCCTCCTTCACTTCTATCCTCATTAAAGCTCACTGACTTAATTTTTTAAATGCCAATTTGTTGTATCGTTTCTCCACTCAAAAATGGTCAAGCACTCCCCATAGCCAGTAAAAGATTTGCAATTTCCCCTAGAACTTGAGATCCAGACCGGAAAGGAGGGTAGGAGCAGAGGGTAAAACTGGGAGGCTTCTTAAAAGATCAGGTTTATTGAGGTGTAATTTACATACAGTAAAATTCACCCTTTTGTGCCGTCTGTGTATCTGACAAACACACACCGTCCTGTGACCACTGCCACAATCAAACACACAGTATTCCCGTCACACAGAAAATTCCCTGTGCTGCCTCTGTCCCCAGCCACTGGCCACCACTTTCTGGATCTCCTTCCTTAGAGTTCTGTCTTTTCCAGAATGTCTTTCTTTTCTTTTCTTTTTTCTTTTTTTTCTGAGGGTAATTAGGGTTTTAAGAATTCAGTTTGTTAATGGAGGTGCTGGGGACTGGACCCAGGACCCTGTGCACGCTAAGCACACGCTCTACCACTGAGCTGCGCCCTCCCCGCAAGAGCGGCTCTGCTGTACCTCAGCTTGTGCTTCTGAGACCCGTCCACGTGCCGCGTCCGTCGGTAATTTCTCCCTTTTCATTGCGGAGAGGCCGCCCCCCCCCCCGAATGACGGTTATCCGTTCTCCAGCTGATGGACATCTAGGCTGCTTCTGCTTTTTGGCGATTGTGAATGAAACTGGTGTGATTATTTGCATACAGTTATTTATGCAGACATTTCTGTTTCTCTGGTGGACTTGCTGGTCTCATGGTAAGTTCAACTTTAGACTGGGGGGGGGTGGGTCTTGTGCAAATCACTGAAGAGGGGCTGACACTACCCAGACTGGAAACCATAATTAATCCAAACACTCCCTTAAAAAAGTCCAGCTGGGGGAACTGAGCCATGAAGCACCAGAAGTTACCAAAGCCCAGAGGGTTTGAGCGAAGGTGGTAACATGGAGACCAGAGGTCTGCGACACACCCAGCACACCAGCGCAGCCGAGGCCTCAAAGGCCTTGGCAGCGCAACCCCGCGTCCCCAGGCCTGGGCAGAGCTCTCCCAGGCCGCTTGTAAAATGAATGAGTGGGCATTAATGTTAATGTTATACATACTCAAAAAACAAATTAATAAAATCAAGCTTGGGGGAGGGTGTAAAACTGATACAGAAAACCCACGAACGATTGGAGCCACGTTGCAAGTGAATAACACACTCACAGAGAAAGGAGGCTATCCTTTCCCAGAGTTATTCAAACGGTTTCAACTGCAGCGTATGCCCTTGGGCTCAAGACAAGAAGAACTTGAAACACACATTGAATTCTAATTAGTAGGCCTTTTTGGAGACACGGGTTAGCAGTTCTGAATCGACATTCTGCACATTCCAGGACTGAGCAAGTAAACAAACACACTGCAGATAATGGAGCCACGTGTTCCGCTGGGAGAGCAGAGAGTTTCCTAAATATCTAATGCGACAAGGGTGAAGAATACCGGGGAATTCTTTGTACAATTTGGTGTTTTATCAAAAAAAAAAAAAGAGAGAGAGAGAGAGAAGGAATGGTTGGCCTGTATCAGTGCTGCTTGAACTCCCTTATATTATTAAAAATCACCTGAGCTTTTGATAAAAATTCAGAACTCCAGGGCCACCTCCCCCACCTTCCTCCCCCAGCTAGTCTACACTTGAGAATGTGCATCTGACACCATCAAACAAGTTTTTGAAAGGCTGGACTGAATTATCTCTGAGGTTCCTTGTTCCATGCTCTGGAGGAGGCAGAACGTAAGCCCGTTTTAGACTTGACACAAAGAGAAGGTGTGGGACAGCTATTTTCCGAGGGGCACTTGTGGCAGAGGTGAAGAATTTATACAGGTACCAAGGGGCCGCAGGAAAGTCCCTTGGGCCGTCTCCTGGAAGGGTTCAGAAGAAAGTTTAGAAGTCATCCAGTCCAGCCACGCTCCTGCCTTCCGCAGCTACACATTTCAGGAATGAGTGGCCTGATTTCCAGCCTTCCAATAAGACACACACCTGCTGGCCTCAAGGCCTTTGCGCTTGCATCGATCTGAAGTACTCACCCCACATGCTGGCAAAGCTGGCTCATTTTCGCCCATCAAGTCTCTCCTCAAATGTCAGTTTATCGGAGCGACCATCCGATCTCGCCAGCCCTTCCCCATGCCTCCCTCTCCCCTCACCAGACTTGTTTTCTTGACAGCACGTACCATTATCTGAGTTTTTCTATGTCCCGTGTCCCACTGACTGCCCAGGGCACCAGCCTCACAAGGGAGGGCTGGTTTGGTCTTTGTTCACCCCGTACCGCCAGTCCCTAGGGCAGGGTTTGTCCTACAGGCACCAGGTACTAAGTGAACATTCGCCGACTGATTTAACAGTCCGCACGCGTACGGGACTCTGCTGCCCACGACGAGGGAACGTGTTTGCAGTGTGCTCAGTGAAATGCACCCAAACCAGATGAGAACCAGGAGGCCTTTATTATCATAAATAAATTTTATTTTTCTTTCACACAGTTTAAGAAAACCAGACATTAGTGTAAGCTGGAAGAACACCTCTGAGTTTGGAAGCAGGTCTCTGCCTTCTCATCCCTAACGGATGGCCGACTGGAAGACCAGAGGCTGGCGTTCATTCAATGCTGTAAAGTGTTGTTATGCGGCGTTAACAGGGGTTACATATAAAAAGGGCACTGGGGCCAAAACGAACTTTACAGACAGCAGGTCCAAATGAAGAGTTTCTCCAACATATCTGACAGCAGCAGCGGCCCCCACCCTGCCTTCCACAGAACGTCTCCACCAAGAACACTTTGAGGAAGACTGCAGACCAAATATTTAAATCACTGTGTATCCAAAAGGCTGCTAAACATCCCACTGCTAATTCTAACCCACAATGACAAGTTCATGTCTTTAGAAAGAAGAGGAGACCTATTTAGAAGCTGAGCAATGGGAAATGCAGCTCCCCCATCTGGGAGTGGAGGGAGAGGTGCTGACTGAGCGGCCTCATTCAGACGCGCTCAGTCTTACCCCAGCGACGACCCCCGGTAAGTGTCAGGGTGGTGCTTCTCAAGCAGGGGGAGGAGGACGAGGCACACCTCTTTAGGAGTTGCCCACCTTGACCCCTCCCTTTAGGAGACAAGGCCCTGGGGAGCAGTCGCCACAGTGGGAGGATGGGAAGCCTCTAAAGCATATTGAGACCAAAAAATTGAGAACGGCTACATTAAAAGACATTTCTCCAGTGGGGTTTCAACTGACCCCCTGCCAACCTTGTTGAATTTCCGGAATGGCTTGGGCAAAACTACACCCACATCCAACTCATAATACTTAATAATTAATAGATTTGAACCCATATAATATATTCTCACTCGACATTAGAAGCTTCCAAATCAGTGTATTACAAAGTGTTACAAAATTTTAGTTTGTAACGCTGTCCAAAAGTATACGATGGGACTAGGTTTACCAAACTTATAAAAACATTATGGGACACTGGTCTGATATTGTTGACTTAAAGCTTGCCATTTCATCTTCCTCATTAACCATGCTGGAGAAGCAGCGTAACTTCTAAATAATCCAAGTCCTTCAAATTAGTCACCGTTATCTTTCAACTGTTTCTGAGCTAAGCGAAGAACATTATTTTGCTCTCTGCCAACAAGAGAATGTAAAAGGCTTCGTGCCTCTGGCATCACTAGAGTAGGGTGTTTAAACTCTGTGCCTTTGTTCACCATAAAACTGACCCGAACTTACAGCAAGACAAGACAGAAGCCCACAGGCCCTGCTGGAGTAAGATGCCACCTGCAGCGTCAGCCTCTTGCCAAAATCAAATTCTGTTGTGCAGCTTGCAATTGATGTACCAAAAATTTACCAGCCCACGTCATTTTATCAGTCTGCCGTCCCCAGAGGAAGTAAACGGGTAACACAGCTAATGAATCATATTTCTTGACCACTCTCAGCCAATGTAAATTGTTACTTGTCCCCAGAGGACTGAGCGGTGAGCAGTTTCCAAGCCCATTCGGGTGTCTGGGCCAGTCCACCACAGAGGCAGTGCTCCAAGATACGGGGGTGCTCCTGAGTCAGCTGTGGCGGACAGCCCCTTAAGCCATTCCCAAGTGCACGTCAGGGGTTGACGGGCCTCCGTTAAAACCTGTTCTGCGTCAGCATTTCTGTACACTGTGAAGACCCCATGAGATACGGGACCTTAATTACTCACGCAACAGATGAGAAAACACTCGGCCTTTTAGCACCACACGGAGTGGAAGGCAGGGGACTGACTCACCATGAGGTGGTGAGCTGCTGAAGTTAGACCGACTGAAACCAAGCTGATAGCCCAGTGCCCTCTGGAATCTGTGACGCCAGCGCGTCTGTCTTCGAGCTCGGCCCGTGGCCCTCCTGGCTTAGAAGCACCCAGGGGACTCGCTCCAGCGCACACCTTCTCCAGGAAACCCACGTTTTAAGCTAGTAAAACAGGGTCTCTGGCTATGCCCGGGGGAACCTGCACTGGCACAAGCTCACCAAGTGTTTCCGTCTCTCTGGCAAGGCCTTCAGCGTCCTCCGCACGCAAACGCTGCATTTTGCACCTATGAAATGCTGAGGCAACATACAGTCACTGGTTTAAAAGCTGAGGGCCGAGCACCGCCAGCTGGGGCTGGCTTAGCCGGCGCCCCGGGGGGCACACTTCCCCTGCGCCGCCGGACACCCGCGGCACCGAACCCGCGACAAGAAAGCAGAGCAAAGCAGAACGCACGATTAAGAAAATTGGATTAAGAAAATCCAAGTCCATATGACTTCGGAGCTGCTCTGCAAGGCGGGGCGGGCTCGTCGGGAGAGAGGGCTCTTCCTGCCCGGCCCCTTCGCAGGTGGGGAAAAGATGAGACCCCTCCCCAACCAGGCTCCTTCCCTGCCCGGGGCTCCCACGCACCCGGCCTCCTCTCTCTCAGGTTCCCCTACTGGGCGGTAGTTCCAGCTCATCCTCCTCCCACGGTGGGAGCCCCCGGAGAGACTCTGCTGCGTGAGACTCAGCAGATGAAGCGCATTCTGTCCTCAGAGGCCCACCGCGAGGGCAGGGAAGCACAAAGCAACTACTTCATGTGCAGCTGCAGGGCGGTGGGCCCGCTCCAACTGCTGAGATAGAGCTGGCGAGCTCACTTTAAACAAAGCTAACGCTTCGTGAAACATTAGTGGTGTGCCTGCCTGAGGACCGACTTGGACCCATGTTCCCCCTTTAAAATCACACATGCAGAACCACTGCACACCCAGAGACGCCCCCCCAGTTGAACACCTTATTGACAGGAAGCCACTCAAAAGTGCCAAGACACCAAGCTCCATAAATATTTTCGGCCACTGTAAACTAGAACCACACCCCTGGCTCGGGGGCTTAGGATGTCGTAGGCTTGATGGTGACATTTGGCACAGAGGGCTTATGCTCTGAATCATGTTTCTTTTTTAAGTGATTCTGGCTCGGGAATCCGATACAGAGCAGCTGAGAAATAAACTATGTTGCTCAGGCTGCAGACGAGGCACAGGAGGACGGCTCCAGCTATGTGAGGGAGCAGCAGGGGCCTGGAGTTGGCCAGGAGCCATTCCTTCCTCAGAGTCTTGTCCAGAAGTACGGCTTCCATCTGCATGTGCGTGGCCAGGACCGCGCACACGTGGAAGAGCTGGTGGCTGTGACCTACGGCAGACACACAGGAGGCCACCAATCAGCAAGGAAAGACGTCCGGACGGGTGCGCGCTACGGCAGACGTGCAAAACCATCGCGCAGAGGAAAAGCAGCCGGTACGTGAGGCCACATACTGATGATTCTGTTTATACCAAACGTCCAGAAAAGGCAACTCCATGGGGGCAGAAAGCAGATAGTGGTTGCTCGGGCAGGGGTGGGAGCTGCCGGGGGTGATGAGAACGTTCCAAAACTCGTTTATGATGGTTGGACAATGTGGTGAATTTACTAAGAAAATCACTGAACTGTATACTTGAAATTAAAGAATTATGTGATAATATATGCTTTAATAAATTTATCTTTCAAAGGTAACATGAGAAAATAAAAGGCCACCAGAACAAACCAAATCCATTTTTAAAACAACTTGTCTACCGGTCCTGTTTTTCACGTGAACAGCTCTACTAACAGCAAGGGTACCTCTTGCGGGCCAGCACTGCGCAGCTCAGAGCCCGACCTCGGGGCCGGACGAACAGCCGTCGCACTTTCTGTGGCTGCTGACGCAGTCCTCCTCTGCCTGCTGCTGGTTAACCCCAGGCGTGACCAGGGCTCTTCCTTGCCGGGGACCTGCAGGAGCCCTGCTCACCAGGGACACTTCCACAGAGGGTGGGGCTCAGCAGGCGGTGGGGGGAGTGGCAGGGAGGTGCTGAGCTGGTGGGAAGAGGAGCGCACCGCCCAGGGCTGGGGGCGGCTTCGGGGACGACCCTCAGACACCAGGAGTAAGGGGAGACCACACAGTTCACGGGCTGACTTCTGTCTCCCTCTCCCAGATGTGCACCTGGAAGTCCTAACCCCCGTACCTCAGAAGGTGACCTTCTGAAGACAAGTGAAGATGAGGCCAGGAGCACAGGACCCACCCTGCCTGGCGTCCTTGTAAGAAGAGGCGATTAGGGCGGGGCACGCACGCGTGCAGGCGGATGGAGAAGGCCGCCTGCGCCTGGAGACACTGGCCCTGCCGCCCGCCCGGCCTCGGGCCTCTCCCCTCCAGAGCTATGAGGAAAGGACCTGCCGGTTCAGCCGCCAGGCTGGTCCCCGTCACGCAGCCCTAGCTCACTGACGCAACCCGAGGGGTAAACAGGGTTCTCCCTCAGTTCAAGCGAAACAGAACAGCAGCGAGAATTCAGGGCTGTCCTCCCAGGAGTTCAGTGACCGCGCCCCAGGAGGGACCAGCCTGGCCGCCGCGCTGCCGAGCAGGGCAGGAGAGCCGAGTGGGCGGCAGGGGGCCTCGGTCTGCATCCCCCGGGGAAGCTGTGCTGCAGGGCCAGCCCGGCCTTACCAACCACACTCACAGGCTGTGAACCGTCTCCAGAGCTGCGTGTGAGCCGCTTTGGCTCCTTATCCAGCCGAGAGCCGTGCTCTCCAAGGACACAGGGCCGAGCTGGAGGTGATTGGGGCACTCACCAACTGAGGCGCAAATCTGTCCCCGTTAGGGCAGGAGATAAAAAGGCGAAGCGGCCACAAGCGCTGACTTGACAGACGGGGCTGTGGCTGCAGCAGGAAGAGGTCCCGGTACTGCCCGGGCAGGGGTGGGAGGGGCTCCCTGTGGGCCTTGGAGACGGACACCCTCCCTGCTCCCTCCGTCTGGCGGGGGGCTCTCCACAACCAGTGGAAGATCTGTCCTGAACTGCTCTCCGGCAGTTTCCCCCTCGAGGGACGCCTTTCTGCTCTAGGCCCAAGAGGACAGATGAGGGCGAATAAATAAACGGTTACTGAGAGTCCAGAGTGGGCAGGGCAAGGCCCAGGGCCGTTTCCTGCCGCGCCCAGACTTCCCACCACCCGCCTCCACTCCGTGGGGCCGGGCTGGGGTGTGGTCGCTCCGGCGGGCTCCCTCCCGCTCCCGGTCCTCCTGTCTCCCCTTTTTCTGAAAACAGCCCTCTAAGCATTTTGCTTCTTGTAATCCCTTCGGCCGGAGAGCGGGATAGGCTCTCATCAGAGCGAACAAAGCAAACTGTTGGCCGCATGTCTTAGGTGGGAGGACGTGGGCGCTCACGGGCAAAGTGGGCTTGGGGAGGCGGGGGCTCCTGCCCACCACGGTAGACCAGCGAGCCCCACGACCGCTTATCTGAGGAGCTCTCATCCCAGGATGCATCAGCCTCGCCAGCAGTGGCCCAAGGCCCCTCCTCCAACCAGTCCCAGAGCTGGGGTCCGGGAGACACGCTCTGCCCCGCCACCCACTTCCCAAGACAGAGAGGAAGGAACCCTGCCGGCAGGAGTGAGTGGACCACTGTGGCTCTGACACCTCCTCTCCACACTGTTTTCCAGCTTGAGTGAGCTCAGGCTCGCCGGAGAATCACACAGCTCCCCAGGGAGCGCCCGGCCCAGCCCACACGATTCTGCGATGGGATGTCTGGTGGGAGGCGCAGAGAATCTGCATGTTCCCGGAGGATGCTGACGCTGCTGCTCCAGGGTCATCCCGAGAACCACTGCTGCCACCATCCCTGGCCCATCACACCCACCTGAACAAGCAGAGGACTCTCCCCTCCTCCGCATAGCCCCCTACCAGCTGGTGTCCTCGAGGCTTCCGCCCTCGGGCGCTCCTGTTCCTCCACAGCTGCCTTCAATGTTCACTTAATAACGGGATTTCACGCCAGGGTAATCCTAGGACTCTCCTGGCCCCACACCAGTTAGGAACGCTCCAGAATCCCAGACCCTCCTGCTCTCCATCCCCCACCATCCCACCTGACCGCTCACTGCCCGTGGTCTGTGCCCGGAGAACTTTCTGAAGAACTGCTTCTCTCCCTGCCCAGCCTCCCTTGTGATGGGACCCCCAACCCCAGGCCGCCCGCACTCACCGATGTAGTCGAAGCGGCCAGGGGCCAGGCGCTCCGGCAGATGTGCGGAGTAGAAGAAGGAGGCCAGGAGGGTCATGGCCATGTGCTTCTGGTGGTACAGGGTGGCTTCATTCTGTGCACTCCCCCCGGGGAGCAGGAACAGCTGCAGGTATTCAAAGACACGTCAGGCCTCGCGAGGAGGCTGCAGGCACCTCTGCACAGGTGTGTGGACTCGGCCGAGGCCCTCCCCGGCCCAGGCCTGTGCTGGAAAGGGGGCCCTGGGGGCTGTGTGAGCAGGCCTCCCATTCTGAGCGGATGGAGACCCAGGGAGATTGCAGTTTAATCCCCCGCATGCTCGTGAGGGCCTTTGGGTTATTTCATTACATAAAAAGAAAGAAAGAACAGAAGGGAGGAAAGGAAGACGGGTCCCGTCAGACACGGCGCTGCCCCTCCCCGGGTGGGGGGGCTGTGAGCGCCGCGAAGCCGGCCTGCTCACACTCGTGCTCACGCCCTGCAGCACGCCACCTCAGCGACGCTCTCCAGCCAGGGCGTGGAGGCCCAGAAGCCCCGGGAAGGCTTCCGGGTCATCAGAAAGCACTGACTCCAGCCGCTGTCCTGTTTGGAGTGAGGTATGGTTTCTGCGTGTCCGCCACTTGCCGAGGGCACCAGGCCAGGCCTTCCACCTGCATCATTCATTGGAGCTTCAGCAGTGACCCCAAGGCAGACTCCGTTTCTCCCCTTTTGCAGGTGAGGAAACTGGGCTGGAGGGAGTCTTGCCAACCACTAATCAGTAGTGAAGTCAGGCTGATTCCAGAACCGATTAGCTCAGCAACGGCGCCGTTCAGGAGAAGAACCCCCCCCGCCGCTGCCCGCCGTTCCGCGGCA